TTCTTTTACAATTATTATGACTGCACATTATTTACTCTGTGTTTTCTTTCTTTTCTTTCAGAAAGGACTYGATGAAGAATAAAGCTTCTTCAAAAATATTATTTATGAGACACCTGTTGTCTTTGTAGTGGTGCCTCCCTAAGCATGTTGTTTTGATCWGTAGAATAAACTTAATGTGCATCTGAAATAGATTCTTGAGTTTTTGTTGACAAAGTTTTTTATTGGTGTGTCTAAAATCATCTAAAGGAAATAAGAATAAAAGTGAATAACCAAACTCATGCTTTGTAGCTGTTTCACACCAAGGCAATATTCAAAGAATATATTATTTTGAAATTGCACATCTTATATTTCAATTAATTTAATACTTTTGCTTATATAATATGGTTGTTTCATTGCCCTGAATTTGTTATGAGAGGGTAACTACTGGCAAAATATCTAAATAATTTTTATGTTAATTGTGTTGACTGAAGTAAAAAAATATTTTTTGAACTTTTTTATTGGACAAAGATAGGTTAAATCGGCAACAGCAACAAAACGGTGAAATTTGTTAATATTTTATCTTTGAAAAATTTAGATTATAAGAAATCATGTCTGTCAAATAATATATAACCTTTATTTTAACAGGTAATAATACTTGGCTAAAAGTCCAAATGACCACATGACACTGTTTTAGGCACTATTTCAAATAAATAAATGAATAAAAACTGAACAAATTAATGAATGTTAAAATGTATTCTGTAAAAGAAATATGCAAATATTCTAATACAGAAAGYTTTAGGCATTTTTTTAATCACACCTCGTACAACAACAGAACAATCTGGAGAGTGTGTGACTGACTCTGATACAGTATGTCTAATGAAGGAAAAAAGATATGAAAATCGTAATGCCACACATGTAACTACCGTTCCCTAAAGAAGAAAACAAGGTACAACAAATAAAGTATTGGGACATTATGACCCAGCATGTCCTGACTAAAGACGCAGTGTGACATTGTGTAAATAGTGGTGCCAGGTCAGCGGGGGCATGACATCCCATATTCTATGAGTAAATCAACTGAAAGGGAACAACTAAGAAAACTTTTATGCATCGTCTCATTTTTGCACCAACTTTGTCTTTTTGGAGTTGTTATGGGGCAGTAAAGGGCCAACATAAAAAAACAACATACTGGGGTGGTTAGGTTTAATGTGAGGGGTCTGGGTTAGGCTATAGAAATTAATGAAAGTCGATGCAAAGTTCCCATGAAGATAGGGGTACACAAAACGAGTTTGTGTGTGAGCAGGTATTCCCTACTATGGGGGGACCATTTTTGGCATACACACCTACTTATGGGGACCTAAGTCTCGTCCCCATTGGAGGAAAAATCGCTGGTGGGTCGGGGATTAGATTTAGGACTAAAGYGTAAACTGAGTTTAGACTAGAATTATGGTCAGGTATGTACCTGGGAGGTTAGGTGTAGGGTAAGGGGTCAKGGTTCTGAGATCTGAGATCTCAACAGGACTTGCCTGGTTAAATAATGGTAAATAAATCAGGGTTAGGCCATAGAAATTAATGGACATCAGTGCAATGTCCCCATAAAGATAACTGTACGGTGTTTTTTACATACACTGTTAACTCAACTAAAGACTTTTAGGTTCAAACAAAATTGTAACTAGACATGGGTTTTTACGATGTAAAAACAAGTGTGCATTGCCACGTAGCATGTCATTGCAGCATGGCTT